ATGGGCCCAGGGCACGCCGCCACCTATCCACTTTCTACCGATGCGCCGCGCGGGCAAATTATTGGTGCACAGTGACGCAGCGTTCAGGAGGGAGCAGAAGGAAGCCGTCGAAGCGGGGCGGACAATCGGAGGAGCCACCTGCTTGCGCAGCGCCACGGACACAGACGCACAACGGGCATTCGTTGGCCGACAGGCGCGCCCACTATCGGAGTGGCAGCACGGGGCGCTAGGACGGTGACGCGAAGCACCTTCGCCAGTGAGCTGATGGCCGCGATCAGTTCGACGGGCCACGGCCTCGCTCTAGCCGCCGCGCGCCGCGGGGTTCTCGAGGGCTCGCGTGGCCCCGAAGCGGCGCGCCACCAACGAGGCGGTCAGCAGCCCTTCGCACTGCGCATTGAATTCTGCCTGGGTTCCACGGGCGCATTCACATCCACTGCGGCTGCGAGATTAAAGCCCCCTGCAGAGCATAGCATTCGATGTTGCCGCGCGTGCTCTGGCTGGGCGACCCCTTGTGCCCGGGCCAATTATGGGCCCTGAGTCGGGGCGCGGTCTTGGGCGGGATGCGCGCGCTGTCGCCCTCGACGCGGCCGGCAAGTTGACGTTGGTATCTGGCCAGGGGCGCCAGCCGTCTTCTGACGATGAACAATCATAACTGCACGGACTAGTTCGCGCCCCATCTCCGCGCGCCACTCGTCTTTCCTCATCCCCATTTTGTTCGGGAGGTTCGCCGCCGCGCGCGCCGAAGTAGGGGTGCGCGTTGCAGCGCGACAGCCCAGGCATCGTAATTGGCGGGGTTATTTGGACAGAATCATGCAGAACGCGCGGACGCGCGCGCATGCTCGCGCAGGAGACATGGAACCAGCCAGGGCAGTCAGAGAAGGGAGTGGATGGATCCGCCGCCGTTTTCCCGCGAGCAGACCCGCGCGCCGGCCAGCCGCGGCGCGCGGGGCCTCGCGGTTTAGCTCGCGCGCCGGCGGTCTCAAGCACGGGCGCCCGACGCGCGCCGTCGCGCGCTGGCGGCCGCCCGCCGCCGCGCCCGCAGCATCCGACGTCGCCGCCGCGGCATTCGAAGACAGACCCGACAGCGCCCCCAGCGGAAGTGCCATCGTCAGACGAGGCGCCCGCGGCGGCCAGGAGCCGCGCAGCACCCTGCGCGCGTGCTCGGCCTGCCACTCCGCCGCCTGGCTGTCCAAAGGCATCGCCGCCAATCATAGCGAGGCCACCGCGCGCCACCGCCGACAACAGAGGGCCGTCGGCGCTTGGAAAGGCTCGTCGAGGAGTGGCTTGCCCAGAGGACTGTTGCAGAACAGCCGGCGCCGCGAGGACACCCGCGGGCTCGCGTTGCCGCCGCCGTTCGCTCTCGCAACCGCCCTCCGACGCCCCGTCGGCGCCTCTCGGCCGCCGCCGCGCCTGACCCTGCGCGCGCGCTGCCGACCAGCAAGGCTGCGCCAGCCCCACCTCTTCGCGCGCCTCCTCCGCCCACGGCGCCGCCCACGGCGCTCGGCGAGGGCCCGATGCAGCGGCCGCCGAGCAGCGATGGTGACGAGGAGGCCTGCAGATTCCTCATGAGCCGGCACGTCAGCGCCCCCGCCCCAGACGCGACGGCGCGGCGGCGCCTGTTCAGCGCCGCGGTCGTGGGGCCGATGACGCACGCTGCCTGTGCTCGCGGTTCGTCGCGCCGCGGGGCTAGTGACCGACGCGCGCCAGCGAGGCCATCGGCGCGCGCGGCGCTGCTCAACGCCAAATTGTCCCAGGCGTGGCCGGCATGGTCGCCTCGGGAACGGTCCGAGCGCCGCAGGCGCTGGCAGTTGGTCGACCTCGGCACCTGGCCGGGCTACGTCCAGGATCCAAGCCTTCGCGCGGGCAAGGCAGCCCCCGGGCTGCCCGCTGGCAAGCGGCAAGAGCGGCCGTCGCGCGCGGGCTTCGAGGTCACCGCGCCCCCCGCCACCGCGGGTCGAGCGCGCGCCGGCCAGGTCGCCGCGCCCCCCGCCGCCGATGGTCCTGCGCGCGCCTGCCGCGCCCCCACCGCGGCGCCCCCTGCCGAGGCCCCCGTCGCATCCGCCCGAGAGCCGCGGGGCCAGGAGAGGGGGCGCGTCGAGCAGCAGCGGGGCCAGGAGAGAGTGCGGCAGCGACGCCGCCCGCGGCTCACGATGGCGCCCATCTCTGCCGCTTCCGTTCTGGCAGCGCCCCAGCAACCCGGCGCCTGGCGGCTCTCGCGGGCCGCGCGGGCAAGCGGCAGTGGGAACGGGCAAGAGCAAGTGCAAGGGCAATAACCAGAGCAAGGATCAAACCAAGGCTGGCGGCGACAAGCCCAAGAAGAAGGTGGGCCGCGGAGGCAGAACGGTCAAGCGCTGGCGCGCGGCCGAGGCTTCGGCGCGCGCAGCTGCCGGCTCAGACGTCGGCCGCAAGTCCTGGCTGGGCGGCGCCGCCCCGGGCGCGCCCAGCGAGGATGCGGGGGCGCAGCGAGGCCGCGGCGGCCCCCAGCCTCGAGGCGATGGAGGTAGTGAGCCCGAGGCGATGATGCCAAACAGAGTGAGCATCCCTCATGGTCATCCTCCACCCCTCACCCTTGCCCGGCCAGGGCGTCGTCGCACCTCCACCTCGCCTTCCCGCGTGGCCCTGGGGCCATCCAGCGTGCCTGATCCTCATGACGGGCCTTCATTTCAGAACTTGTTGTCTGCGGCCCGGGGTCGCCAAACAGACGCAAATGCGACCTGGCCCGGGCCGAAATCGCACCATCTCTGCTTGCGTGAGCTCCCCCGGCGCCGCCCGGAAGAGCGCGAACGACCCCCCCGACGGGGGCGAGCCTGCCTCCCGCCGTGCCGCGCGCGGCCAGGCCAGACAGCGACGGGGTGCCCCTGCTGAGTTTAGAACCTGGCTTTGGACAGTTATGGTTCCCTTTTCCTTTGATTTTGCGTCTCCGCCAAAGCTGTTCCATCGCCCTCGCAATCCCGAGTCGAATCGGATTTTTCGCCGCCACTCAGTTCCAGCGCCGGCGCGTGCTAAACATCAACTGATGAGTGGCCCGCGCGCTAGCCGCACCTTATTGCAGCAAACCGTTTCCCCGTCAACCTTCCAAACCCACAATCCTAGATCGCGGAACGGGGGCGTCGAAGAGAGGTGAGAAGACCAGGGGGGGGCGCGCAGGATCGACGGTCGAGGCTCGAGGCTCGAGGGAGGAGGAGGAGGACCTCTTTTTGTCGAAGCAGAGAAACGCCATAAACATTACCCTAGTGCGACCCGACCTAGAAGTTGGAGCCCCTAGGAAAACAGTATTAGTCGCTATGCTAATGCTATGCTATGTCATGCTATGCTATGCTGCGCTATGATATGCTATGCGATGCTATGTTCTGCTATACTGCGTTATGCTATGCTATGCTAAGCTATGCTCTGTCATGCTGCGCTGTGCTCTGCTATGCTATGCGGTGCTTTGCTATCGAGGCTAGCTCGGCATCTGTCGCACATTGTTTTTCCTTTGCCTTTCCTTTGCTTTTGTTTTTGCTTTGCGTTGCTTTGAGTTGCTTGTGCTTTGCTTTGCTGTCGCTGTTGTTGTTTTGCCTTTGCTTGGCTGCTCTGCTCTGCTCTGCTCTGCTATGCTGCGCTGTGCTATGTTGTGCTGTGCTGCGCTATGCTAGGCTGTGCTGTGCTGCGCTATGCTATGAAATGTTGTGCTGCGCTATGCTACGCTATGCTCTGCTCTGCTGTGCTCTGCTATGCTAAAGCTCAGCGAAGCTAAGATGAAGGTAAACTAAGCTAAGATATACCTGAGCTAAGATGAAGCTAAGCTAAGCTATGATGAAATAAGCTAAGCTAAGATGAGATAAGCAACGATAAGCTAAGTGGACGCAGCTGGGGGAACCGCGGAGCGGATGCCGGGGGAACCGCCCGGGGCGAGCCCCTCTGCCCGGCCCTTTTAAGCTAAGACAGAAAGAACCCTTCTAGGCAGAGCCTAATTAGGTAGGGAATAAACTTTTGGCGCTCCGCGCGGATTTCTTAGATCTGCGCTGGGCCCTCCCTGGCGGCGCCTCCTGCGCCGCCGCTGTCGCGCTCCGCGCGCCAGGAAACGGGCCCAGCGCAGATCCAAGAAATTCACGCGGAACGCCAAACCTTTATGTTCATAGCGTTTTCTCTTCTTTTACCTATGGCCCCTCAAGTCGGTGATTCAAAAATACGTAGCCATTTTCGCTGAATCCATTGTGGCTCAAGCCAGCTGGTTCGATCCGTCTGCAGGTTCCAGCGGTCTCGGGTCGGGACCCCCCTGCGCTCGCTCAAGGACCCTGCCCTCGGTGCGCTTCCTGCGCGACGATGCGCCTGGCGATCGCGGCTGCCACCCTGCAGCTCGGGAAGCACGGTTGCGTTTCCCCTACGTTTCTCTCGAGTACAAGTTCACCGACATGGTGGGCGAGCGCCGCTTGTAGACCACCACCGACAAGGACCTCGAGGTACCCGTCACCAACGAAAATGAGCAGATATCGCCTGGCTGCGTCTGGGGAGCTAACATAACAAGACATTGTAATACAAGTGCTGACGATTGCAAGGCCTCGTGCGATGCTAACGACGATGTTCTGGCATTCGAATTCTTCGTTGACCATGGCGGACAAGAAAATGTGTTTCAGCCAGGGGACTGCCAATTGAACGACGACGCCCAAATTGATACAGCTTGTGGGTCCGACTACAACTTGGATGTGTACATCCAAGTGCGGGCACCGACACCGGCACCGCCGCCGACACCAGCACCGCCGCCAAATTGCGTCGACGTCGACGTGGGCTGGGGTGACAGCATTTACAATGAGTTTACATGTAGTCAGTATTTCGAATACGGGTGGTGCACGAGTTCTGGTGGCATTAGATCCGGGTGGGACCCCTTGCGGGGTACGTTCGACGATTTTTCAAACAACGTGCACGACGCAACGACAGCGCGTTGCGCTTGTGGCGCTACTTGCGTTGATACGATTGCAGTGGTTACTCAAGTAGAGACTGGTGCGCGACATCCGGTGGCTATGGATCTGGTTGGAGATGGGCACGGTGTACATTTGAAGATTGTACATGGGCTGGGTGAGCACGACGCATCGACAGCGTTCTGCGATTGTGGCGCGGTGCCGCCGCCGACGCCGGGTCCACCACCCACACCGGAGAACCCGTCAGAGGTCAAGAATGCGTCGGCCGTTCCCGCGGGGACAGTCTTGACTGTTGCCGAGTACACATCAGATGAAATCCTTCCGTCTGGTGTGACTGCGTCTGATCTCATGAACTCCATTGTGTACAAGGCTGCTAAAACGACGGGTTTGTGCCTGTTCCCGTCTCCGACATTATTATTATTATTATTATCATTATTCTTATTATTATTGTTATTATTATTATTGTTATTATTATTGTTATTTTTATTAGAATTATTATTAGTATTATTATTCGAATTATTGCGGATTTTATCGTGGACGCTTGCCAGCTCTCCGCAGTTGTTGGCGAGCTCTCGGTCGCAGTGTCTGCGACGACCAGCTTCACGGTCCAGGTTGCCGACGCGAGTGTTGCCGAGGTCTTATCCCTTACGGTACAAGGGACTGAAGACGTTATCAAAGAGCAAGAGCAAATTAACATTGCAATGGCAGCTGCCGATTGGAGTGGAGATTCAGTGATCACTGGTGCTCCAACGATGGGCGAGGTGGTCACCATGGTTGTGACGACTCCGACGGCAACGACAACGACCACCGTGGCTACCGTGACGACCGAGGATCTCTCGAGCCCCGAGTGTGACGCGTCCAAGACCACCATTTGCGACGTGGTTTCCATCGTCATGATTGCTGTGCTCAGCTGGCTCGTCTGA